ATGAGTGTGCACATGCACAGATGTGTAGAGGATGGTTGCTCAAATAGCCAGACAAGGACTGGGAAAAGAACAGCCCCACAGGTGCCCTTAGACTCCCACAGCAGGGACTCTCGGCTCTCTCTGGGGCTCATCCTTCCTCAGTGATGGGGGCTGGGCCCTAACCAAGGTCATGTCTCCTTTCTTGCATTGAAAGAATAAACCTCACCATACCCCAGGGTGGTTTCCTGGCTGTAGTCAGTCTAGTGGGGACAGGGAAGTCCTCCCTGCTCTCCGTCCTTTTTGGGGAGCTGTCAAAGGTGGAGGGGTTCATGATCGTCAAGGTGAGGCCACCCCTGCCTGTCTGCTAGGATGTCTCCATCATCCTGAAAGTCCTCCTTCCTCACTGCCTTTCCACCCCTCCCCATCCCATTGCTTTCATTCATTCTCTCCACCACCCACCCACCACTGAGAGCCCAGCTCCCACTGCTCCTCAAAACCTGTTACACCTCTGTTCCCATCATTAGTGTTCAGTGGCCTACATGCTCCAGGAGGCCTGGGTGCAGAACACCTCTGTGGTGGAGAAAGTGTGCCTCGGGCAGGAGCTTGACCCAGACTGGCTGGAGAGGGTCCTAGAGGCCTGCATTCTATGGCCAGATGTGGACAGCTTCCCTGTGGGAGTCCACACTTCAGTTGGGGATCAGGTGAGAATGTCAGGGTCTTTTGGGTCAGGAAAGCATTGCAGTTGGGGGTCATTTGGGTCCCTGACTCATCATGGGCAGTATGATGGAGAAATGCAGGGAGTGGTCAGGGAAGTGGGGGAGAGGAAGGGCTCAGCTCAGTGTCAAGCACATACTAGGTGCTCAATAAATAATCATAAATCAATAAATAGAAATGGACATAAAGAGAGAGGCAAGGAGTTGTGTTAGGGATTGACGGTGAGGGGTTCTGACAACTGAGAGTGAGACTAGACTCCTGTCTTACTCTGCCCTGCCTTGCTGGGTGACATTGATCTAATTGCTTCCCCTCTCTGGGCCTCACCAAAGGGTCTGGACAGAGATGTCCAAGACACAGGTTATATGCATCTGGAGCTATGGATTGGGGAGGAGCTGGCAAACTGTTACTCCCAGGCCAAATCCAGCCCTCCACTTCTCTGTGTGTGTGTGTGTGTGTGTGTGTGTGTGTGTGTGTTTCAAATGGAGTCTCACTCTGTTGCACGGGCTGGAGTGCAGTGGTGCAATCTTGGCTCACTGCAACCTCCCTCTCCCACATTCAAGAAATTCTCCTGCCTCAGCCTCCTGAGTAGCTGGGATTATAGGCAGGTGCTACCACACCTGGCTAATTTTTTAATTTTTAGTAGAGACAGTGTTTCACTATGTTGGCCAGGCTGGTCTCAAACTCCTGACCTCAAGTGATCTCCTCATTTCCCTCAGAGTCAAAGCCCAAGTCGTGACAATCCCTGGCAAGGTCCCTGTCACCTTGCTCTGGTATCCATCATTCCCATCTCCCATCATTATCTCCTGGCTTCACTCCAGCCCCTGAGTCTCTATAATGTTCCCTGATCTCCTGCAGCATACTCTTGCTCCACGGCGGCCTTTGCACCTGCTGTTCCCACTGTTGGAAATCTCCCTAGGAGTGCCCAGGGCTCATCCCTCACGTCTATCACGTTCACAGAGAAGCCTTTCCTGATTACCTTATCCACCACCACCACCGCAACCTGCTCATGCTAGTACACCTTACACCCACACCTGTTTTCTCTTTCCTTTCATTTTCTTTCCTATCTCTTTTCCTTTTTTTTCTTGAGACAGTCTTACTGTGTTCCCCAGGCTGGAGTGCAGTTGCACAATCTCGGCTCACTGCAACCTGTAACTCCCAAGTTCAAGCAGTCTTCCCACCTCAGCCTCCTGAGTAGCTAGGATTACAGGCAGGTGCTATCACGCCTGGCTTTTTTTTTTTTTTTTTTGTACTTTTAGTAAAAATGGGATTTCATCATGTTGGCCAGGCAGAACTCCTAACCTCAAGTGATCCACTCACCTCGGCCTCCCAAGGCGCTGAGATTATAGGCATGAGCCACTGCACCGGGCTGCACCGGCTTTAGTATTTATTCTTCATAGTGCTTTCCACTTGATGTGCTGTCTGTGTTACTGGGTTGTTTATGGATCACCTGTCTCTCTCCCCCTCATTAGAATGATGGATCCATTCAGAAAGCAGAAACTTTGTTTTGTTCATTGCTGTCTCCCCAAAGCCTAGAACCCTGCTGGGGATATGATAACTAGGCAGTAGTTATTAGTGGAATGAATGAATAGCCGGGTGTGGTGGCTTCTGCCCCAGCATTTTGGGAGGCCGAGGTGGGCAGATTGCTTGAAGTCAGGAGTTCGAGACCAGCCTGGCCAAAATGGTGAAACTCCATCTCTACTAAAAATACAAAATACAAAAATTAGCCAGGCATGATGGCTCACCTGTAATCCCAGCTACACAGGAAGGTGAGGCAGGAGAATCCATTGAACCTGGGAGGTGGAGGTTGGAGTGAGTCAAGATTGCACCACTGGACTCCTGAGTAGCTAGGACAACAGGCGCACACCAGAGAGCCTGGCTAATTTTTGTATTTTTAGTAGAGACAGTGTTTCACCATGTCAGGCTGGTCTCAAACTCCTGACCTCAGGTGATCCTCCTGCCTCGGCCTCCCAAAGTTCTGGGATTACAGGCATAAGCCACCATTCCTGGCCTCTTTTAGCTATTTAAAAATATACAATAAATTATTGTTTACCATTGTCACTCTGTTGTACTACCAAGTACTACATCTTATTCTAACTGTATTTTTGTACCCATTAATTATTCCTGTGCACCCCCTCCAGCCCACTACCCTCCCCAGCCTCTGGTAACCATCATTCTACTCTCTATTTCCATGAGTTCAATTGTTTTAATTTTTAGCACCCACAAATGACTGGGAGCATGCAAAATTTGACTTTCTGTATCGGGCTTATTTTAGTTAACATAATGATCTCCAGTTCTACCCATGTTGTTGCAAATAACAGGATTCTGTTCTTTTTCATGGCCAAATAATATTCTATTGTGTATATGTACCACATTTTCTTTCTCCTTTCACCTGTTAATGGACACTTAGATTGCTTCCGAATCTTGGCTACTGGGAATAGTGTTGCAATAAATATTGAAATGTAGATATTTCTTTCTATACTGATTTTCTTTCTTTTGGGTGTGTACCCAGCAGTAGAATTACTGTGTCATAAAGTAGCACTCTTTTTGGTTTTTTTGAGGACCCTCCAAACCGTTCTCCATGGTGGTTGCACTAATTTACATTCCCACCAATAGTGTACCCGTGTTCCCTTTTCTCCACATCCTCATTAGCATCTGTTACTGCCTGGCTTTTGGATATAAACCATTTAAACCACGGTGGGATGATAGCTCATTGTAGTTTTAATTTACATTTCTCTGATAATCAGTGATGTTGAGCACCTTTTCACATATTCATTTGCCATTTGCATGTCTTCTTTTGAGAAATGTCTATTCTGACCTATTGTCCATTTAAATCAGATGATTAGGGCTTTTTTTTCCTATTGGTTTTGTTTCCCCTGAGCTCCTTATATCCTCAAGGGTTATTAACCCCTTGTCAGATGGATTCAGGATTGGGTTTTGTCTTTATTTTACACTCAATTCTAAACCATTAAATGCTGTCACATGGAAAAGTGACATATTTATATTGGAAGATGACTTCGTGTATTTGCTACCTATTGCTGTGTAACATACCAGCTGGGCATGGTGGCTCACGCCTGTAATCCCAGCAGCTGGAAGGCCAAGGCAGGTGGATCATGAGGTCAGGAGTTAGAGACTAGCCTGGCCAACATGATGAAACCTCGTCTTTACTAAAAATACAAAAAAAAAAGCCAGGTGTGATAGCACATGCCTGTAATCCTAGCTACTCAGGAGGTTGAGACAGGAGAATCACTTGAACTCTGGAGGCAGAGGTTGCAGTGAGCTGAGATCACACCACTGCACTCCAGCCTAAGGGACAGAGTGAGACTCCGTCCCAGAAAACAAACCACACACACACACACAAACAACAAAAAACCACCCCAAGGTATAAAGTTACAGTGATGCTTATTAGAGTTCTCACAATTCTGGAGGCTGACTAGACTCACCTAGGCAGTTCTGGCTCAGGATGTGGTTGCCTTCAAACAGGTTGGAGTTAGAATAGTCTTGAAGATTTCCTTGCTCAAATATCTCCTGGGTTATGTGGGCTCTCAGCTGGGGCTATCTGGTGGAACACTCACACATAACCTCCCTACATGGTCTGGGCTTTTTCACAAAATGGTGAATGGGTTCTAAGTGCACCCATCCCAGGAAGGAGAGCCAAGTGGAAACACTATCATCTTTTATGACCTAACTTTGGCAGGTCATAAGCAGCACTTCCACTGTATTCTTACAGACGCAGGGCACTAAGTTCATATTCAAGGGAAGTAACTAGCTGCTTTTGATTTTACAGCTTCATAGGTGGAAGGGACTTGCCTTTTCACCATAGCCTCATAGATGAGACCATGGACTGTGGACTTTTGAGTTAATGTTGAAATAAGACTTGTGGGACTGTTGGGAATGCATGATTGGTTTTGAAATATGAGGACATAAGATTTGAGGTGTCAAAGTTGAATCATAGAAATGTAGCTAAACATAAACATTTTGCAAACCCATAATTTTTATGATGAAACAAATACATTTTCTCATCTTTCATGTATAATATGTTTTAATGTTTTTTAACCAAATGAAATGTGAGTTTTGTAATTTTGATCTTACTATAGCAATGGTTTTATAAACAAAGAAAAAATGAATAATTCAAGATTGCAGAGATGGTAAACTATTAAAAGTAGTTTGGGTATTAAATTATTATGAAATAATTGTGTCTTACATAATTCTAAATCCAACAGTTGTGATTGAACAGATCTGTAGGCATATGTAAGTGTTGAGGTGAAAGTGACAAGCAAAGCAGTTATGTTGAACATTTCTGTCTGAAGGTAATCGACAGAGGAACTGGCTGTGGACCTTCACTTCTGCATCACTTTTGTTTTGTGCTGTAGCTGAGTATCAAAAACAAAACAAAACAAAAATCACTACTTATTCCTCAAAGAGAGAGAAAGAATATTTCCTTCAATTTAAGCATTCCTAAATTGCCACCTGATGGCCCCTGCACTCTAGGAGGAGGCCAAGGCAGAGCAGACCCTCAGGTGGGCGGGCAATGCGCTTGACCCTGAGGACATCAGGTACCCGGCCCCCCCCCAATCCACTGCTGGCGCCCAAGTCACCCCTGCAGCCTAGACGTGGCATGGGAGCAGCAAGTGGCTGAACATCCCAGACCAGGCCCACACCCCCAGCAGCAAGAATCCCCAGTCTGGGCGCCCAGGCGGCAAAGTCAGGTGGTCGGCCCACCAGCAGCGGCTCATTATCATCGGCGTGGATGCAGAGTGCTCAGCGCAGGGGGCCAGGATCCGGACAGGTGTCCAAGAGGAGCGGACCCTCAGGCCGGATGGGCTGTGCACTCGGCGACCGTGATGCCACCCAACGGAGGCTCCACCATCCCACACCAGTACCAGAGCTGCACCTGCAAACTGCGCATCCGACATGGGCAGCAGTGGGGGCCGGTGGGGGAAGGAGCAACCCCTGACTTTCCATGCATCTCCCGCTCCGTGACACCTGCTAGGCAGACCCTGGGGCCAGAGTTTCAGCGCTGAAGCCAGGCCATCCGCGAAGCTGCTCCAGTGCTGCGGAGTGCCCATGCCAGATCCGATCTCCCTTTGAGGAGTGGGGCGGCCGCAGGGTCAGACAGACCTCCCCCTCCTCCCTTACAAGAGATATGTAAGGATTGATAATGTTCCATCAGGAACTCATGTTTGTGATATAAAAAGTGAGCCTGAGATCCTGCACCTGTGGTCCTCGGGCAGCCCGGGCGAGCACGGGAGAACCCGGAGCCCACCTGTGCCTGCCCCGAGCTGCAGCCCCACCTGCATGCGCGTGTCTGGGAGCGGCTTCCGGGAACCGGGCAGCCACCGTGGTGCAGGCGCGCGCCTAGGGGCTTTGCGGGGTTCCCTCAGTCTGAGAGCGCAGAGGCTGCGAGTGTTGCTGTTGAAGGCTGTGGTGGACCTGGCTGGATCGCGGATTCTGGGCTAGAAAGCAGATTTGGGATCGCAGATTGGGGGTTGGCGCCAGGTGGGGGTGGGAGGTGCCATGGCTCAGCAGCTAGTTGTTGGGGATCTGAGAAGAAGTCACCACCTTGAAGAAGTTCCTCGGCTTCGGGAGCCAGAGACCAAGGCAGAGCAGAACCTCAGGTCCTGGGCTCCATAGACCCCGTCTACACCGCTCTGGGCACCGAATCCGGGACACGGAACCGCGGAAGATCCACAGGGCGCTGTCAGGGGCGACGCCGCGGAGGTGGAGCTGCCTGGCGTGCAGGAGCGGAGACCTGGACGCCTGGGACAAGCCTCACAGGTAGCAGGGCTCAGCTCGGGGCGGGAGGGTTCCCTAGGCCCGGCTTCCCGCCCTGAGACGGGGCCTTGGAGGGCGCCGGGCACCCTCGGAGCAGCGGAGCCAAATGAGCCTCAGCTGCTTCATCCCTCCTAATTCCCCGGCTGGAGCACTTTGAGAGTTTGAGTGATTTAACTCACTAAGTTAGGCATATACAGTGTTGTTATTTTTAAAGTTCACGTTTAAAACATGGCGTTTTATACATTACAGGAGGTCCCCACTGAGAGAACTCATTCCCCTATGAAAAATACCGGGAGTCATTTTAAGTAGGCGAAAATTTCTCGGATAAAACTGCTTGTTTTACAGCAGTTCTATCAGATTTCTCAGAACTGCTTGGTTCTTTACTGAAGGGTCTTAGAGGGGAAACTTGGAAGTGGGAGGTGGGTTTTGTGTTCTTGAATGAGAAGACACATTTTTCTCAAAATGTGAGCTCTGTGTGTATCAATTTTACATAAACCGAATGAAAATATCAAGGTTTTAACATTTTTGCACGACACCTGCTGTCTTTTACTATTGTGATGACATTTTAAATAATTTTATAATGGACTGAAAAAATACTGGCTTCTCTAGATATTAAAATGTGCTATTAATTTCTATAATTAATTGTTGACTAACAGCTGAAAATGCAGATAAATGCATAGAATAGGAAATCCAGAAACACTGAAATGATATGATATATGTCAGGATTGATAATGTTCACAGATATGAACAGGAAAGGATGAAGGATTAGTGAAAAAATCCTGCTCTTTGAAGAAAACTAATGAAATTTTTATATCACAAACATGAGTGCCTGATGGAACACAGATTGCAACTTTTACATATGCAAGTGAGAAAAATATCAGAAGAAAACAGAAATGCTCATTTTACAGGTATGTTTTATGTTGACAAAGCCTTCCTAAGAATGACCTCAGAGGCAGGCTTTCTGAAGGTTGATTTAGCAAACTAAAAATTAAAACTGCCGGTATAGCAGAAAAAAAAGAGAAATGAAAGAAAACATACTTGAAAAGTATTTACTATATTATATATATATTCAGATGAGAAGAGTGTTTTCATTTTACAGGGAATTCATTATATCATGTGATATGTATAGTACTGGTATGTCTAGCATATATGTTACATATAATGTCATGTATATCAGTTATATATACAAACTAGATGAAAAGTTACATATATACACATTAGATGAAAAGTGCATCTTCATTTTATGGGAAATTCAAATCAAATAAAAACTCTAATAAAAGTGGGCAAATAACTTTTTTGCAGATTTACATGTTACTTATGTACATAGGAAAAAATCCTTTGCGTTTCTGGTATAAGAATTTAAATTAACAGAGGAATGAAACTGTTTTCTGCCCACAATATGTATGAGGATGTTTTGCACTGCTGCTTAAAGTTCAAGTTTCTGATAACTTTTTAAATAGATGGATTGGTGGTAAGTACTACATTTTAAAAATGGGTATACTCTTTACCCATCAATTCCAGTATACTAAAATGCCCTTAGGAAGTAGAGTACAGGCACTTTGTTTTTTGCAGCACTTATTTTAAAAAGGACAGACTGAATGAATTCTATAAGTAAATTTCTATTGCAGCCATAGGTTGGAATAATATGTGACCATTGAATGTGACAATAGATATGGAAGTATGTTGATGTGCGAAGATGTATTTTGTCATAGCCAGCAAGGAAAAAAGAATCAGTTAATTACACATACACACAAACATACTATGGTCTTTTGTTAACAAAAAAAAAATGTGTACAGAATATGATAACATTTCTAATTTCTAGGCATTGGCATTATAAGCGAAGTTTTTTTTTTTTTTAAGCAAAGTTTTTCTTATCTGTGATTGCAGCAATGAGCATGTACAACACTTCTAGTAAAAGTTTATTATTAATGGAATAATTCTTGGGAAAAGGAATATGAATCTTGCCCAGATAAAAATAATTTCTCACTTTCTATTTTTATCATTATTATTATTCTGTGTTATTATCTTTGAACTTTTAACCTCTTCATAAATAAAAGGGAATACTTTTATCTGTCTCCAGATTTTATGTATATATTTTATTATGTATATATTTTTCTTACATGTAGATTTATCTAATATATGCAAACGATGATAGATTAATCATTTCATCTTGTATTCTTTGAAAATAAAAATAAAAATTAATGATTACTATTGCAAAAATACTGCTTTATAGGAGTTTATTTTAAAATATTGAACTCCCCATCTGTATTTATCCATTCTTTCATTCAATTTATTCATCAAACATAACCTGAGTACCTATTATGTAGCAGACATATTCTACTCTCTCTCAGGAGCTTTCCATCCTTAAACACTTCATGTTGACCTGCCCTGTCTGCACAAGCTGAGAGATTTGAAACGAGGATATTAGGACTTAATCTCATTTAAACTTCGTCTCCCATCTTTCAAACAAGAATTTCCGAAGTTAGAAAATAGAAGATAACCTTTAACTGCCCTTTCAAAAGTTTATCAGTCTTAAACACTAATATTAATCATCGGAAAGTCCAATTTGCATATATTCTCTAAATCTGTGTTGAATTAAATGATCCATACCTATTCCTTTGAATCGTGAGTTTCTTTTGACTTCAAGTTGTTTGAAAAATCTAAGAATTAATTTGTTCAAAAAATGTGTTACTGTTATTTCAGTGTTTTTTCCCCATAGTACCTTTAAGAACTGAAATGTAGGCCGGGCCCGGTGGCTCACGCCTGTAATCCCAGCACTTTGGGAGGCCGAGGCGGGTGAATCACGAGGTCAAGAGATCGAGACCATCCTGGTCAACATGGTGAAACCCCGTCTCTACTAAAAATACAAAAAATTAGCTACGCACGGTGACGCATGCCTGTAATCCCAGCTACTCAGGAGGCTGAGGCAGGAGAATTGCCTGAACCCAGGAGGCGGAGGTTGCGGTGAGCCGAGATCGCGCCATGGCACTCCAGCCTGGGTAACAAGAGCGAAACTCCGTCTCAAAAAAAAAGAAACTGAAATGTATTTAAGTACCAGTTATATCCCTAGAACTGCCCTAGACCTGCTCAGTATACCATATGCTACTTAATGTAAGGACTCATGGATTGTGTGATGCCCCATTATTATATATTTCAATACAATAATATTTAAAATGCTACCAATTATAGTTGTAATAAATCATGAATTATAAGTGGCATTCAAATATCAGAGGTGTTAAAATGTGACGTACTCTTTAAGTCATCCTACAAAGTAGGTACAATTGTTTTATTTTACTTGATTAAAATTTTTTTGTTTAGTAGTAGTAATAGAAATACTCCTAGAACTCTGGGAGGCTGAGGTGGAAGAATCGCTTGATGCCAGGAGTTTGAGAGCAGCCTGAACAACAAAATGAGATTCTTGCTCTACATAAAATTTACATTAGTAGCTGGGCATGCTGGTGCACATCTGTAGTCCCAGCTACTCAGGAGGCCATGTATGGAGCGTTGCATGAGCCCAGGAGTTCCATGCTACAGTGAGGTATGATTACACCACTGCACTCCAGCCTGGGCAAAACAGTGAGACCTTGTCTCGAAAAACAAAAACCTAACAATTTTGAGTTGTTGCTGTAGGAACTATTTAAATACTTTACATAGTTACTTATTTAAGCATCATGATGTCCTATGAGATAGCTATTATTGTTGTTTTTATTAATGAGGAAGTTGAGGCACAGAAAGGCTAAGTAATAGCTGGTAAATGACAGAGTTTAAAGTAGGACTGATGGGGTCCAAAGTGGCTCCCGCCGGAGGTCATGGCGCTTGCGAAGGCGAGGTCATCAGTTCAAGGCTAACCTGAGCAACCTCATAAGCTCAAACTGATTGGCAAAAAAAAAAAATAATAATAAAGTAGGACTGAAACCCTAGTTGAACTGAATCCAAAGACTGAGCTCTTTCTGTTCGAATAGGCTGCTGTTTTAAGGTAGTGAGAAATAACAGCTAATACGTACTATACTTTGTTCAAGAAAAATAAGAGGAAAAACATGCTATTCAATGTTTACAATGATGCAATGACTGTATGTTTTGAGATATTGCACTACACTTTCCTAAAAGGTCCTCTTACTCTTGTACTACTGCTCTACATTTGGCCTGTGCCAGTGGCTGTGTGGAAGTGGTCACTCTCCTGGTGAACAGAAAATACCAGGTTGACATTTGTGACAAACAAAACAGAACACCTTTAATATAGGTATATATTAGTCAACTCTTTCAGCATAATGTGGGTTTGATTTATATATATAATTAAAATAAATTTGTCCTATTTAAATATAACTAGTTGGTGAAACCTGTGGAATGTGTATTTTGAATTCTTAGAATTTACAATCTATTTCTTGCTCTAATATGGACAGGCTGTACATTGCCAGGAAGAGACTTGTGCCATCATTCTGCTGAAACATGGCACAAACCCACATCTTAAGGATATCTACGGCATCACTGCTCTCCATTTCACTGGGTATAATGAGAGTATGTTACAGGCAGAAAAACTGCTTCCTCGTGATGCAAATATCGAAGCAATGGACAAGGTGTAGATCAATGAACTTTCTTTTCAAAATATTTGTTTTAACCTTGACATAGGTAAGGTTCAATTTTTTGTATTTGGAAGCTCAAATATTCACTGAATGCAAGGAAGTTAAGTTATTTTGAAATAATTATCTAAAGTCATATTTTAAATAATCATACTTTGAAAGAAGCATTAAAGGGCACAACTTTTCTTGTATTTTTTTTTATTTTTAAAATACACTTTGAAAAATATTTGTGACTTTAATTTTTTTCAATTTTTTTTTAAATGCAGGGGTTCCGGGCTGGGTGCAGTGGCTCACGCCTGTAATCCCAGCCCTTTCGGAGGCCGAGGCGGGTGGATCACGAGGTCAAGAGATTGAGACCATCCTGGTCAACATGGTGAAACCCCTCTCTACTAAAAATACAAAAAATTAGCTGGGCACAGTGGCGCGTGCCTGTAATCCCAGCTACTCAGGAGGCTGAGGCAGGAGAATTGCCTGAACCCAGGAGGCGGAGGTTGCGGTGAGCCGAGATCGCGCCATTGCACTCCAGCCTGGGTAACAAGAGCGAAACTCAGTCTCAAACAAAATAATAATAAAATAAATGCAGGGGTTCCTCCTCCCCCCAGATTAATGAAAAACAACACAGGAAGGAAAATATGCCCTGAAAATTGGCTTTATCATAAAACTCAAACAAAACTAAAGCAACTTAGAATAAATAGAAATCTTGCTGCTGCTGACAATTTTCTAAAAACCTGATGTATCATCTCTCAGTGGCGAGGCTTAAGAGGGAAAAATGGGAAGGGAAAAGGAGAGCCATCAGGAATATGCAGGTCACTTGGAAATTAGGTAATAAGGGAAAGTGCCAAGAAGAGGTTTTTTTTGTTGTTGTTGTTGTTGTTTTGTTTGTTTTTTTTTTTGAGTTTGTTGTACTTCCAGTTTATGTGTTGAGACAAGATGCTCTAGCTTTGGGGCTAATAAATTTTGGTTTGAAAAGGAGAGTGAGTTGAAACTTGCCTAGAGATTAATTTTAGGAGGACTCTGGGGAAACCATATTGGCAGTGAATATGTGGTGACAACATGAGAAACACTTCAACAGAAGACGAAACAAATTATTAACTGACTTATTACCCATCCAGGCAGAAACAGCCAGTTAGATCTAAGAGTCTAAACTTTCCTCTCAAACCTAGAATGTCTTGATGGCAAGGCGGGAGATAAGGAGCTTACTAATAGCAAAATAAAGTTGGATTTTGAGTTGATTTGTCCTTGTTCTACTCATACCCATGAAAATTAAATGTAGATTTAATAAAATACTCTCTTACTCTTTTCCTTTTTTGGCCACATCTCCAGCTGATAAAAGGAATCAGCCATGTGGGTGAGGGACGAGACTGAAGTCATTGTCTGCTGCACGAATTCTCAGAATTGTGCATTATAGTGACCTGAGCAAACTTTGTTAAAAATCTAAAATTTTAGGCTTTCCCCTGAAGCTTTGGATGTAATAGATCGAATGAGGCCTGAATGTGTATGTTTAAAAATGTTTTCTTGAAACTGGGCACAGTGGCATGTTCTGTTAGTCCCTGCTTGAGCCTAAGACTTTGAGTCTAGCTTGAGCAACATAGTGAGACTCTTCTCTAACCACAGTAACAACAAACAAACAAACAAACCTCCAGGTTTGGATACACTCCTGTTTAAGAACCCCAGAATAGATAAGTGTAATATATACATTCTGTATCTCAAAAAATGTAAAAAATCTCTAGAAGAGTTGGCCTCTGCTAGGTGCTGCTTTCTTCAAAGTTCTCCTTTTCAGTAAGATTAGCCTGACTTACCTGTCTTTGTCTGTGACTGGGAAGTGAAAGGGAATGTTATTGGCAGTATCTCTCAGCTTACAGAATAACACCATTTTTTCCCACCATTAGTCAGTCACTGCCATTCACAGAGTTTTTTAAAATTTGCTTATGGGTAATCTTTCAATAAGTAGAAGCTGACTCTTTAATGATTTCATGTCCCTTTGTCACCATACAGGTGATTATGTGCCAACAAATGTTCATTACAAGTTGGGTTTTCTCAAATAATAACCAATCCTGATTTTTTTTTAGCTGAAGTTGTATTATGAGCTATCTCAGTATGTCTTAAGTTTATAGATCTTTAGCATAACCAGGATGTCAGCTGTACACACTGAAATCCATGAAGTTGATATAAATTTGATATACATCAGAATTATTTTGATTAAGAGAATTTCCATAGAAATTATTTTAATAATTTAGTGTTGGCAGTCATATAAACTATTTGGCTAAAAATCTGGGAAAATTGTATACACATAGATTGTAAATGAATACATGTTGGAAAAGTTTTTGAAGTGGGTATTATGATTCTTAATAGCAATTTTTATTATATATGAGGGCCTGATTTTTTTTGGTAAAACATTTGATACTAGAGAACATATTTTACATGCAAATACTTGGATTATACACAATCATTTAGTTATGCATTCATAGCAAATATAAAAATAAAAGGGCTATATTCTAAATGTGCACAGATATGTTTGCCTCTATAAATTGAGTCAACATGTAAAATTTAGAAGACTTATGCAGAAATCTGGACTTCAGACTTGTCTTAAAAAATAAAATATGGTGTCCCCTGAGTTTCTATCCCTGTTGGCCTGCTGTGCGGAGGACGCTCCTTTATAAAAGGTGCATATTCTCCAGTTTGCTGCTGGGCCCACAGCAGTACGTTCCTTACTCAGATCACCTGCCTTTGTCCTTGTAAGTATTTGAGTTTACAACTCTTATGTTGTAGAATATTTTCATAAAGACTTCAAGGCTTTTAAGTCAATGTGTATTTGTTGATAATACATAGTCTATAGATCATATAAATCCCTCAGTTATGGGGTTGAATTTTAGGATTTAGTTTAAAACTCTTTATCTATACCACAAATAATCATCTTCTCATATGAATGCCTAGAAATTTTTTTAGGTTATTTCTGGTTATAATTGGGTAGTTTGTGAATATTGCAGACATTATATCCTTCTCCTCAGCAGTCTTCCTTAAAAATGCAAGTGACTTATTGACTTTCATTTTGCTAGAAATAACCCATATGGATCAGTATGAGAACTTTGGTGATAAGCCATTATATTTGTATTTGCTTTATATTTAGCCTAAAATAAAAAAATAACTTTAAATAGCCATTTAAATAAAAACCAATAAAAATGGATTTAAAAAGTAGAGTTACATTAGGATCCCAGCATTACCATTACAATTGAAAATAGAATTTCTTACCGAGCTTTGGTTTTTTTAAATACTTATTTTTAAGTTTTTTAAACCTCTCTCTCTTACACAGAACGTACTGAGCCTTGTAACAGTTAAGATAAAAATCTCTTCTCTTGTATTAAAGAAGCCCATGAACTATTTAATAATCTGGAAAATATGTACATTTGAAGCCAATCACTCAATTCAGAGCTCATTTTCTTAGTGACCCATTTGGAGTAGGAGTGCCTGACATTGGCATCTGGGGTCCTGATATCATTGATAGAAGTGAATCAAGCAAGTTTGCACCACCCAGAGGAGACTCCAACTGTATTGGGAAGCTCTGGAAACTGTATCACTGAAACTCTTGATTCCTTAAATGTTAATATTTGCCACAAAAAGTTTTTTCAAATGGGTATAAGGTAAAGTTCAAGAGATTTCTTGATTATTGGATATAAAATACATTTTGTAATACTTCTCATGTGCAGATTGTCATGGAGCCTTTCTCTTGGGTTACAATAAGCCAATATTCTTTGGAATATACTTTAAGAAACACTGCTCTAGAGATAACAATTTAGATCTTAATTTATGTAAACAGCTTAAAGTATTTGCTACTATGTTTTAGGTTTTGGGGGCCATAGAGATAAAAGATACAGGCCTTACCCTCAAGAATCTCTTGGTTTCAGTGGGAAACAACGAAGTGGTTTCAATGCACCATGCTAAGTGCGTGATCAAAGCAAGGGTTTTTGGGACTGGAATGTTTGAAGGGGGTTTTGGTGATGACCACAGTTAGTGTGGGGAGGCAGAAGAGGGGTGCTTGCAAGGCAAAGAGCAGCGCTTCAGAAAGCACAGAGTGAGAAAAAGGGACTGGTTTTCATTTACTTCCTTTCTATATTTTATGTTGAAGTTCAAACATCCTACATAAGATTTTTAGTTCATTTGAGAAATTTCTAATTTTTTTATTTTTTCTTTTTTGCTGTTTTATAGGACGGAAACAGACACCTTTTATTTGCTTTAATTTGCAAGAGACAGCAAATGGTGGCATTTTTAGTGAAAAAACAAGCAAATGTACATGCTGTTGATAGGCTGAGACAGTACAGTAGTTCTTGTTTAAAAACCTGAATGTTCTAAAGTAGAGTCACTTAAGTCAGAAATATTAATAAGATTAACATAATTATTGGCATATAGTGAAAAATACCAACACACATCAGGTAGAAAAGCAAATATTTGGACTAAGCAACATAACATGTAGGATTCATTTTCTCTTATGGAGTTTTTGTTATTTGTAATCTGACGTCTTTGGTCTTGTAATCTTACATTGGCTAAAGGTCTTTGTATTTTATTAATTTTTGAAGTGTGGACTTTTAGTTTATGACTAGTATTGCCATTATTGTTGTTATTTATTGTTTCAGGCTGTAGATAGCTCTTACCTGACTCCTAGCTGATATGAATTACAATAAATCAGACTAGGAAAGCAATGGGGAAGTCTTCATTTAAATCTTTGCCTACTTTAGATAAATGACCTCAGCACAGTGTTTTGGCCATCAAGGGGACTATAAGTTAGCAACTTGTATTATGTCATACCCCAGTGGAACAAGAGACTTCCTTGTCATCCCTTTTAGCCTTGGTGATGATTTACAAAGATGAACACTCGAGCACCCAAGATGCTTATAGACACGAGCTAGCCCATGTAAATGGTGATTGTGTCCACATTGGCGGGCAGCATAGTAAATTGATAGAGTATAACAAACTAGCTGTTTAGTAATGACTTTATTAAAGTTCTTGAATGGAGTTATTTCTTTGCTATTTCAGAGCAGTCCTCATGCTTCCTGTACATTATGGCTCATCGGATATTTTCAATACTTTTCTTCAGCAAAATATTAATGTCTTTACTCAAGTTATGCATGTATGAGATGCAGAAGATTATGCTTATCATGGTTGACGAGGTGTTTGTATTAAAAGGCCAGTTAATACTAAATTGATGTTTAAAATAATGGCAATCATTGAATCTTACAGATTAGGTGAGAGTTCATAGTTTGGTTCAGGTAGTTTGAAATAGCAGGAGTTAGTCCACTTTTTAGCTAGAAGTCAAGCCGAAGGCTAGATTAGTTAGAAGTAGAATGCAAGTATGCCTAGGGATGTCAATGTGGTTCATTTTATTCTAAGTGTAATCCCATGCATCAGATAAAAATGAAGCCACATATTTGACTTCTTTTGTCTTCATTTCTTTCTTCTTTTTTTTTTTTTTCTTTCTTTTTTTTTTGAGGCAGGGTCTCACTATCTTGACTAGGCTAGTCTTGAACTCCTGAGCATAAGTAATCCTCCTGCCTTGGCGTCTCAAAGTGCTAGCTACCATGCCTGGCCTGACTTTTCGAATGAGTTATTGGGTCTTGAAATGTTCAATTTAGCAGAAAATTTTGTATTGTCCCCTGGGGCTATCTCCTGTGTCTTCCTTCTTTGAATTTTCCAAGAAGCTAAGGTGTTTCCTAAGTCCAAGGAAGGCAATCTTTCTTTACAAGTCAGAAGGGGGAGAAGAGACCATTCTAATTATTCTGTTGTTTCCATGGATTCACTTCTGTATTGTTGCCATTGTAACTGGTCCTGCAATCTGATAATCATTGACTTTTGCCACCAGGATGCACTCACTGATTCAGACCCCTCAGTTTTCATGGTGATTCACACATAGTGTTCAAAGCTACGGTGTTTATTGTTTATGTACTTACGCTCAGCCATTGTTCTCAGCACCCTGCTCTGGGAGCTGGGCCTCCTAGCTTTATCCACACAAATAGTGAGCAAATTGATGCTTCCCCTACACTAAAAACATTATTTGGAGCCCACATCTTAGCTAGACTTATTAGCCTAGGCCTTCATGGTAAGTTATCCTTTGAGACCTCTGTTGGTCTTTTCTCTAATAAATATTAGTTGAGATTGTTCCCACCAGTCAGAGATGTTCAAATAATGTTGCAGGAAGAGATTAGCATTCCCTTTCCCTTTTGCTATCAGATTTGTATCTTGAGGTTTTTTTTATATCCTGTGCAGCAGCTTTGATTAGACAGCAGAAGGTTCCATGTTATCTTTCCACAGAGCAATGGGAACCAACTTGTAGTTGGCCCCTCAAGTAATCCATTTCTACAGTAGTACAAATCTCCCAGGCAGTAGCACATCTACCTCAAGTTTCAAGTATATTTTAAAGTTCCACTTCACAGGAAACCATTCGATAACATTCTCTGAATCTCAAGTAGGTGAGTTGGATTGAACAGAGCTAAGCTTCATCTATGACTCATGAGTGTCCATGTATAAAACAGGGCTTCGTACTTGTTTCGGCAGTGCATACTTTAAAATTAGATCAATAGAGAGCAGATAAGCATAAGCATGGCTGCTGCCTGAGGATGGCTCACAAATTCATAAAGCATTCCATATTTTGCATTGCCCCTGAAAAGTCATTTGACTATTTCTTGATCAGCTCCAAGGAAGCAGTGTGAGTCAAACCAAAACAGGAGATACCCAATATTAAAATTGTGATTATCACTATAAAACTATTGATGTACGTGAAGTATGAAGTGAGAACAGGGCTGAGTAACATATGGGATGTTACGTGAAAATATGTTGTTAGTCCATGTCTTGGAAATGGGAAAATGTCAACTTGCATTTCCTTCATAAACCTTAAAAACAATAAAAGCAGGGTTTTTCTCGTGTGTTAGTTGGAGAGGACCATGGCAATCCAGCATCCTGGCACGGATGCGCTGGCTCAGAGTTTGAAGAGGTAGAGAGGGAGTGGTGGTTGTCCAAGCCAGGTTTTGACTTGGCTTTAATTTGTCTGTTAATTTTCTGCTCTTGGTGTGATTGACAAGCTCAGTAATAGGGCACAATTATGTTATCTATTCTAATGAGATAACATATTCATATATAAATTTAGTTATAAGTTGTGAATTAGCTAAAATACCCTGAATTACAAGCCACAATAAATAGAGCTAATAAACAAAATTAGCACTTAATAACATTTTATGAAAACTGCAACATTTGAATATTAGAACCTATGGAAAAACACACATCAAGCTTCATTTGGGACTCCAAAATAGTTTCAGCCATAAAGTTCAAGAATAAGTTATTCCATTGCTCTCCTATTTCTCTGGACATTTAAGCATGGAATCTCATTACATCTTCCTAACAACCTAGTGAAGTAAGGTAGCAAAATCCTTATTTTTTAGAAGAAACCACGGAGCCTAAGAGAAGCAACTTGTCTGAACACAAATACCTATTGGTTACAGAGCAAGGACCTGTTCTGAGTGCAGGACACTTTGCGTGATGTCCAGCTGACTATAGTTAATTTACTGAGCTGTGCTCCCTTCATTTATGAGTACTTCACTTTTTTTTAATTAAAAGGTTAATAAACTTGTAAAGCTTAAAATTTTGAAGTGTATGGGACAGAAATTAAATTCTGGTATTAGTGTTGATATTGCATGAAATGGTTTAAGAATTTAATATACTTGGTAAATATTTTTTATTTTAGTATTAAAAAAGCAATTTTATTTATTACTTTTTTATACTTAGAATTTGACACCAAATTTTGAAACATAAAAAGAAGATACTTCAAGGCAAGTAAGATTTCTGATAGTGAATTTTTCATTTATCTTGTTGATACTACTCTTGATAAAAAAGAAAGTAAGATGTAAGATTAAGGTAATTTTAATGGAAAATGACCAGTTTTAAAATATGTGGAAATTGCAAGTGTATATATGTATATACATATATGTAAATTAATTTTCAAAATTTAACTTCTTTAGTTTAAAATTCAGAGTTATTTAAGAAGGAAGTTGTATCTAATTTATAATCTAAAACAATATTGTCTGAAAAAATTATTTACTCAATTACAATCTCTAAAATTCTATATAATAGTTTTTGGATAAATAAGAAAAAAGATTGTTAAGGTAGTATGTTGTATGTTTTCTCTATAGCCACATTATAACAAATTGAAGTTGTTACACATAGGGATCTTGTATTTCATTTTTATAATAAATTGTTTGTATTTAGTAAATAAATAATTATAGTTGACCCATGAATAATGTGGGAAATAGGGACTCTAAACTCTGTGCAGTTGAAAATCTGAGTATAACTTTTAATTTCCCCATCTTAGCTGCTAGTAACCCACCATTGACTGGAAACCTTCCTGATAACATAAACAGTCCATTAAAACCTATTTTGTCTGTGCTGCATTATTGTATACTGTGTTCTTACAACAAAGTAAGGTAGAGAAATGAAGCTGTTAGAAAGAAAATCATCAGAACAAATATATTGACTTTTCACAAAACATAAGTGGATCCTCACAAAGGTCTTCCTCTGTCCATGGATTTCAGAGGCAGAATAAAATCTGCATATAAACCGCTGCAGTTCGAACCCCTGCTGTTCAAGGGTTAAGTGTATTACATATTAATTTTTGTCACTAAGAAAGTAACTACCTTTAGAACTGGGAACTCAACAGTCCCTTTCTTGTACCATAAGTAAATGGCAATAAGAACTGTAAAATTGAACCAGCATGCACCCATACAAATTGGAGATTTCATTTTGGAGATACCTACTGAGTGCAGAAGACAGAAAACAATTCCTTTGTGAGAAGTACAAGTTATGTTACATATTCTTACATATGCAGAATGGTTTTATCTGTCATTGTTTACAGACACGCACATACACATGTGCACATGCACATATACACATACATGTGCTTTTGCACGTGCATATGTACACACTAATAAGTTAAAAGTCTGCTGATTCTTTATGACCAAATCCACTATTTGCAGGGAGCAGCAGGTAACACATGCTACACTTTGGATGCAGTTATTTTGATTTTTTGACTTGTTCTCTGATGAACTGCCTTTAATGGGTGAACCATGTTTCTAGTTATATAGGAAATAAAAAGATTAGAAGCAAGTAAAAGAAACTATGATCAGTAGTAGACTTGTACTTTACTCAGTAGTCACATGTTTTTCTCCAGGTATACAAGTTACTTGAATGATGAGTTCTCCAGTTATACAAGTTACTTAAATAATTTATTACTATTATTATAAGAAATGGGGTCTGTCTATGTTGTGAATACAGTGTCTATTCAGTGGTACAGTTACGGCTTACTGTTGCTTTAAACTTCTGGGCTTAATCAGTCCTCCTACCTCATCCTCCTGGGTAGCTGGGACCATAGTCATGTGTGGTTACATCTAGCTGGATACACAATTATTTATTGATGGATTTGTTTATCTGTTTATTTTTGAGACAGTGTCTCCCTGTGTTGCTAGTACTTGAGTGTAGTCATGCAGTCTTGGCTCCATGCAACTTCTGCTTCATGGCCTTATGTGATCCTTTCACCTCAGCCTCCCAAGTAGCTGGGACTACAGGCATACACCACCATGCTTAGCTATTATTTTTATAAGGTATGTATGTATTTATTTATTTTAGATGATGTCTCACTATATTGCCCAGGCTGGTCTGGAACTTCTGAGCTCAAATAATCCTTCTGCATCAATGTCTTTATGCAATTAGATAAAGAAATACAAGAATCTCCAAGTCAAATACCAAGGAGAAAAAAGAAAATAAAAGAAAAACAGATTAGGGAAAGTTATTCTGTGAAATAACCATCCAATGACAGTCACATATAGCATATCAATTTAATAAAAATCTTGTGTGATGCATTTGTGTCAAGGGTTTCCAAGACCACCCCTAGGTTTGGCAATTTACTAGACAGTCTCACAGGACTTAGAAAATAATGATACTCAGATCTTTAATTTATTACAATGAAAAGGTACGGGCAAAATTAGAGGGAAAAGGTGCATGTGGTCGAGTCTGCAGGAAACCAGGCACAAGTTTTGAGGAGTTCTCTCCTGTGGAGTTCCCATGATCTGCTTAATTCTCCCAGGCTGACATTTTGGCAACACAGATGCAGTGATGTCTACCAGTACCAGAATCTCATTAGAGACTCAGTACCCAAGTTTTAAATGGAGGTTCCTCTCCCTCACATGTACCCAAATTCCAGTCTCCCAGAAGGAAAGCATCTGTTCAGAGTAACCACGTTGTTTCTCTGAACACTTTAGACACAGTGAGCCATTATTCTCAGGGAATGGTGGGAACCCTCTCAATTTCAATTTCCTAAACATCCACCAAGGGGCCAGCCTTGCATGTGGGCCTTTCTAAGGATGTCATTCTTTTGCCTGCTATATAAAATCTTTTCTGCACAAAAGTTTTAGCCCCAACTTAATTTTTGGTGTTGTTTTAAAATTTCATTTTAACAGCAAGTAATCGAAGATAAGGTAACTTGGTGCTAGTTTCTGTTGTATGATCCATCCTTAGTTGCTATGCTGGTTACTTTTTTGAGTTTTGGTGACTAACAGGTATTTCTTTGTAAGTTACCATAGCAGTATTGGGTAATTACAATCTGTCCTCCTTATCTCATTAGCCTTTCAGTAAAATGGTTAAATAACCTAATATTAAAATTAGAATAAAAATGGTCTTTTATTTTTATTACATGAATAATTTAGTTTTCATCTAGTGTTAACTCCCTGTTTAGAATTGTGAAATAAGATAAAATAATCATTTTAGCAATATTTTCTTGCCTGAGCATGCAATTAAATTTGTTTTACATATTTTATATACTTCAATTAGAGAAATAATGCTCACATGCTATTACTTTGGTCTTTAATGATCTCCAGTTTTGAAGGTCACCATGTCTTGCTTAAATATGTCATAACAGGTTCAATGAATATCCTTTATTTTTCATTTTAGTTTTTGTTCTGAAAATCCTGGGATGGCATAGACAATGAGTATCTTTTTTAGATCAATAACTTTGTTTCTTAGAGCAGTTTTAGGTTCTTAACAAAATTGAGAAGAAGGTACAGAGATTTCTCATTATTTTCCTTGCCTCCCACACATGCGTGGCTTTTCCCATTATTAGTATTTTCCACCAAAGTGGTACATTTCTTACAACTGATGAACCTACATTGACACATTAAAATCATTCAAAGTTCATAGTTGACATAGGCTTCATTCCTAATACTGTACATTCTGTGAAGTTGGACAAATGTATAATGACATGTATCTATTAATTTAACTTGATAGAGCAGTTTCACCGCCCTAAAAATTCTCAATACTATGTCTATCTCTCCCTTTCTTCCTAGCAACTCCAACCACTGATCTTTTCTATCTTCATAGTTTTACTTTTTTCAGAAGAGTCATATAGTTGAAATAATACAGTGGATATATTTTTGACTAGTTAAAAAGTTAAAGTTCTATAGTAATTGAATGTAGTCATTTAAGATATACTTTGTCCTTTTGTTTTTCTTCCGTTTTTTAATCATAAGACCTGGTGACATGTGCTTTACATATTTAGCAAACATGATTTGTGTAGATGTTTGCCACATAACGGAAAGGGTTGAGGAAAATAACACGATGCATTACCACACAGCACACACTGGAGCATCTTGGTTTATGGGGTGGGTTCAGATAGACTCTCTGTTCCTTGGAAGGGAGTAAGTTCAAGAGGTTGTACTTTATAAAACTGGAATCACAAAGTCTTCCATACGTACTCCCAGTTGGAAATAAGACCAGGCAGTGAATGCTATAGGTAAATACCCATGCTCCTCACTGATCCTCTTCCTTTGAGAAATGAGTTTGAAAACAGTCTGTATTATGATGACATGACTCACGTATAACTAGATTCTCTATCATAAGGGATGGCAAGGAAATCACACAATTTTGCTTTATATGGGTTTAAAAAAACTTTTTTCTGCTACCAGGGAGAGAGGAAAGCATTGGCACATTCTGGTAACAAGAGGGCATTGATAGTTTTCTTTCTATACATTTTTCACATGAGACAGTACTGCCTGGCAGCCTGCCACACCTCCCCAGTGTTTCTTAAGCTTCTCTGAATATGAGGTGTGATTCGGAGTGAATAAGCTCTTAAACGAGTGATCTTTCCAGTGGTTCTTTCTGTGGGAGGTAAAATAGCAGGTGAATTTGGGCCTTGTTATATGTAGAGCTGAGCATATAGCTACAACTAATTAAACCACCCAGCACCTTCCCCAGAAGAGTATTAGCCAGAGTAACACGCTAATCTCTCTTGAGCTCTTCAGTCATTTTATCCTATCCTGAACAGTTTTAACTGCAGAGCTAGGGAGGCTGTTTTGTGCTCAACAAAGTAAGTGCAGTAGTACCCCCTTAAATGTAAGATACATTTCAAGACTCCCAGTAAATGCCTGAAACCACAAATAGTACTGAATCACATACCAATTCTTTATTACACATATATATCTATGATAGCATTTAATTTATAAATTAGGCACAGCAAGAAATTAACAACAATAACTCATCATAAAATATATTGTGTGGTTCTCACCCTTTTTCCTGTGATGAGGTGAAGTGATACAATGCCTGTGTAATGAGATGAAGTGAGGTGAATGAGGTAGGCATTGTAATGCAGTGATAGGCCACTATGCACCCCCTGAATCTAAGTCAGAAAAAACGTCATGAGCTGTGAGTGACCCTGTATCTTCAGGCTTTAATGATGTTGATGGCTGGTAACAGAAGGAGACTGTGTTGATGACTGATGGGTGAACAGCATATGCAGTGTGGATGTACCGAACAAAGGGACAATTCACATCCTGGTCTGGATGGAGGGGCTCAAGCTTTCATCATACTTCTCAGAATGGCACACTAGAACTTATGACGTTTATTTCTGAAGTTTTCCATGTGATATTTTGGGAATACAGTTGAATATTAGCTGTAACCACAGAAATAAAAACTACGAATGTAAAATCTGTTCGGACATTGACTCATTTCTTGCTGTCCAGTTCTTAAAATCATTAGAAATTCCAAACTGGTGTCTTTTTGTATGCTAATGATTGATGACTGGAAGCCCCTATCTAGATTCAGGATGGCAACTGGTCATTATCATGAAGACATTGATTAGAGGGTTGAGATCTCCTGTCGCACTCTGCAGATTCTGGGGCAAAGAGAAAGCCTGAAGGTTTTCAGTCACCAATGGCCAGTGATTTACTTAATCAGTGGTGCATATGTAATAAAGCTTTCATAAAGACCCAAAGAGACTGGGCTTGGAGAGCTTCCAGTTCGCTGAATACATTGAGGTTCCTGGAGGATGGTGTGTCCTGGGAGGGCATGTCATCTTCATCCCACTTCCCCCACACCTTGCACTGTGCAACTCTTCATTGGTACCTTTTGTAATGTCCTTCATAGCAAGCTGGTAAATGTGTTTCCCTGAGTACTTTGAGCCATTCCAGCAATTCAATTTAGCACAAATTGAAGCCAATTGGTCAGAAGTTCTGGAGTTTCAGACTTAGGACTGATGTAGGGAGGAAGTCTCATGGGACTGCGCCCTTTACCTGTGGAATCTGATGCTATCTGCAGAGAGAGTGTGAGAGCTGAATTAGAGGACACCCAGCTTGTGTTATCTGCAGAAATGATTGTTTGCTTGTTGGTGGGGAAAAAACCCTTTCTACATTTGATCACAGAAGCTTCTTTGTTGATGATTGTTTCTGTGGTGTGAGAGCAGAGAAAAACATGGCAAGTATGTCTTTTCCACACATGTCGTGGATAAGGGAACTACTGTATACTCTGTTTTAACTGCCCTTCATATTTTGGTTCAGAAATCATGCTCTTTGACACTGGTCACTCATCACATCTGTTCTGCTAACAATACCATTTTTAGTCAATCTCATATGGTTTGTCTAAGATGACTTGTATACTGCCGTTCACTTGTAGAAATCAAATTTTGATAAATTTATTCTTTGCATTTAATAAATACAAAGTGAGGGAAGTAAGAGTTCTTACTGCACTAATCACATACCAGTAGGTATAATTTATATTAATTCTAATAAGGTCTCAGGTATGCTCCCAAAGGAATGCTTTGTAACAAAGCATCAGTCCTATACTTTAAAGAAAAATGGTCTAAAGCATGCACACAAGTGTGCATAATTTTTTTTTTATAAAGGTAGAGTCTTGCTATGTTTTCCAAACTGGTCTCAAACTTCTGGGTTTTTCAAGTGATCCTCCTGCCTTAGTCTCCCAAGTAGTTGAGATTACAGGCATGCATGACTTTGCCTTCTTATGTTTTTAATATTCTATATATTTGTTATTGATTTACAATGCATTTTGTCTTTTCCTTTAATAGATCCTGGGAGTTCTGATGAATCTGCAGTCAGGGAGGATTTTACAGATTTTAAAAATTGTATTAACTAAGGAAATATAGATGGAAGAAACTAATATCTGTTGAGTGCTGTATTCTGGGCTAACCACCCTATTATGTGCTATGCGTTTATCACAAAGTCTTCACAACATCTGTGTTCTTATAACCTACTGTTTATTAAATAGGCAACTGTGGTTTAGAGAGGTTAATTGGCTCATGATCCCACAGTTAACAAAGTAGCTGACTCACTCACAGTTAAACCATCCACCTGCCTGGCTTCCAAATACTTCTTTTGCTCCTCAGCATAGATGGATAAAAATCTGTGCAGCAATTGGATCAAGATACATGTTAGAATCAGATTAATGAATAAAGTCAAATCTAGCTATATGTTAACTGTCATTTAAGGTTACTGTTAGAAATGAGGTTGGCCTAACAGTTTGTCCTAATAAATTTGACAATTTCAGTGGTAACCAATATCTTATCTTTACCATCAAAAGCTTTAGGGCAGTGTGAAGATTTGGCCATAGGATTGTAAATTTTACAAAACCAAGATTAGACAAGTCTTAGAGAGAAATAACTTGACTTCCCAGTTTGGGTTTTGCCTTTAGGCTGCATTTCCGCCTACTTCCACAATACTTTTCTTTAGTCTTTCTTTTTTTCTCCATAACATTTCCATAACCTTCTCTTGATGTTTTCAAGTGTTCTTCTCTGCTTTTGGTGTTTCTTTTTGTTCTACTATTTTTCCAAATTCTGCTGGCAATGTATCCCCATTTCTCCTATAGACAATTAAAAGCACACAGAATTTCAGAATTTTAAGGAATCATAGGACTAATTAAAATAATCTCTAGTACTTCAACCTGTTAAATGTTCTGGTCAAGTGTTTTTCTAGATAGAGAACCTGAGACTCAAATAGATTAGGGTAGTTTTCTTTTTGCACATAGGAAGTGGCAGAAATGAGATTTAAACTCATTCTAAAGCCCAGTACTCACCCTTCTGTTTTTATTTTATGGGCTTTTGTTGTTGTTGTTGTTGACAGTCTTGCTTTCTCACCCAGGCTTGAGTGCAGTGGCGCGGTCTAGGCTCACTGCAACCTCTGCTGCCTGAGTTCTAGCGATTCTCCTGCCTCAGCCTCCTAAATAGCTGGGATTACAGCCATGCCATCGTGGCTCACATCTGTAATCCCAGCACTTTGGGAGGCTGAGGCAGGTGGATTATGAGGTCAAGAGATCCAGATCATCCTGGCCAAAATGGTGAAACTCAGTCTACTAAAAATACAAAATAAATTAGCTGGGCATGGTGGCAGGTGCCTGTATTTCCAGCTACTTGGGAGGCTGAAGCAGGAGAATTGCTTGAACATGGGAGGTGGAGGTTGCAGTGAGCCAAGATTATGCCATTGCACTCTAGCCTGGTGACAGAGTGAGACTCTGTCTCAGATGATGATGATGATGATGATGATGATGATGATACAAAGGGGGAGTGAGTCTGGTGCACCCAGTGGATAGAATGAGAATGAAATTAACTGTTAAACCCAATGGCAGTGGCTAAGAATGGAATGAGCACAGGAAGGCCAAGTTTGAAGAGAAACAATACCTTATTGGGTAGGAATATGAATTCTTCAGTAATAGATCAGATTATTGAAGTTTATGACAAGTTTAATAAAGAAATTACAAAGATGAAGAACACAAGATCTTGGGAATTTACAAAGGCACATTAGAGGGTTCGAGGGAGCTTTAAACACGTTGCTTTTCTTTTGATCAATAACTGACGAAGATTTTTACTGAAAGATGCTAAAACATTTTGAGACACTGGGAAGAGTCTCTACAGCAGATAGAAATGTGGTATCACGGGGTGGCTTAGAGCTTCTTGAGTACTAGGGGCTGGAGATTGCTGAACAACATAGATCTGTAGCCCAGGATAGGTGCCTCCTCACCTCTACTTCTTTTCATAATTCACTGATGGTCTTCCAATGTTCATGTAGGCTGGGTCAGGGGCATGATTGGCCAATCAGTCATGAAGTTCAGTTGGGAAATTGGAGGTGTGTCTATGCTGGGGGCAGCTGATGGAGACTCCAGGTAGCTTGTTATTCAGGAGCAGGGATGTAGAGAGCCACTCCTGTCATTTGAGGCCATCCTTTCAGGAATCTGTGCTTTCATAGATTGAAGAGTTGAAGGTTGGAGACTGCCATGGAGCCCTGCACAGGTAGAATCTGGAAGTCTATAGGAAGAAAGATATTTAGATAGTACTTAGGGAAATAGAGATACAACTACCAGAACTCTGTTTTTCCAGCAGTCTCTCTTTTTGGATATCTGAGTGCCTATGAAGGTTTTTTTTGATAGGGAGTCTCGCTCCATCACCCAGGCTGGAGTGCAGTGGCATGATCTCAGCTCACCACAACCTCTGCCTCCAGGTTTCAAGCGTAATAGCCTCCCTAGTAGCTGAAAGTACAGGTGTTTGCCACCACGCCTGGCTAATGTTTGCATTTTTAGTGGAGACAGGGTTTCACCATTTTGGCCAGGCTGGTCTTGAGCTCCTGAACTCAAGTGATCTGCTCCCCTTGGCCTCCCAAAGAGCTGGGATTTTAGGCATGAGCCACCGTGCCCAACCCTACCTGTGAAGGATTTAAGGGCTTCCTAGTTAATGTGGCCCTGAAAAAGGTAGGACATATAGAGTGAATATAATTGAATTTTTATTACTGTTAATGTGTTGATCTTTCTGGGAAGAGTGTTCTCAAATAGAACATACTCCTCTGTTATTAGACTTCTGAGCACTTAGCATTTACATGTTTCAAATGTTGCAGGTGATTCCTGTACTGTTTTGGGACAAAGGAAAGCAATAGGACCTTCTTAAGTGGTTTCTATGCTGAGGAATCAAGACTGCCAATTTGAAGTGACAGATTAGTCTTTTAACCAGAGATAGATAATGGACAAGAAACAGTGTATCTTTCCACCTTGTTTTAGGTCATCAGGTTTCTTCCAGTTTAGGTAACAAGAGTTACCTAAGTACAACTTCAGGATAGATAATAAGTCAGGGTAAATTATCATCAGGCTCTGGGATATATTGGCTGTCGCTATTTGTTATGGAGCTCAAGGTCAGTTTTCATTGAATATTGTATATATTTAGACAGGTAGAGGTACAAAAATAGGTAACCAAAATCTATTTTTAGAACAAGGGCCATATTTTAATTATGTCAAGAAACATTATTTAATGTACAGATAGCTGACCTTTCCCCAGATTTGTGTTTCTGTTTTTTGGAGAGAAGCTGAATATGAACTAGCAGTTAAACAATTTGTGAAGAAGTCAACTTACTCATTTTCATTGTATGTTTTTGCTCTAAAGCATTTTCCATGAACTGTGTGTTGATTCATGCCCTAAGCCAGATGACGACTTGACTGTTACCACCAAGGTAAAGCGGCCTCTTGTAAAATTAATTTTCTCACTCAGTCAAGTTTTGCATATTATTTACTTTTAACATTTAGCCGTGGTTTATCTATCTTTTTTTATGTTGGTAATACAAAGTTGGTTAGAGAAAAGCGTAGACTTGGCAAGTCGATTAAAAAAATTGTTTAAACTTGTTAACTAACAAAGGATTGATTAAGTACTGTGATGGGGTGGGGACTGATAGAAAATGAACTGGAAAATACATAGTGACAGGAAAATCACATTAGAAAATGCTTTCCGCAATAAAGGAAATATAAAATTGGTTAAGGTTTATTTGGATAAATATTAATATTGGCTTTTAAATCATACTAGTGTTACTTTCATAATATTTATGCCTGTATAAATCTTCAGTGAATCAAATTACTTCTATCCTGGAATCAAATTATCCTGGAATCTCCCTGGTACTTTTTATTGGCAAAACGGTACGGCACATAGCATATGGCTTTTTTTGGACACTTATGATTTTGGTACCATATAGTTTTTAGGAGAGATTTTTTTTCTTCTATTATTACTTCTGTAGTGAGACTAAAATATTAAAATTTGTAGAAAACTAGCTGAGTATGGTGGTGTATGCCTGTAGTCCCAGCTACTTGGGGGTTTGAGGCAGGAGGATTGCTTGAGCCCAGGAGTTTGAGAACAGCCAGGGCAACATAACCAGATTGTATCTGCTTTAAAAATATAAATCATAGAAATGTAGAAATTTAAATTTATGTTACCAAACTTTGTATTACAAATGGATTTCTGTGTGTTTTATAAGTTGTCCATAAAGGGTATATGTAAAACACTTCATTTAATGAGTAACATGTATGTTGCTGCAAATAACCAGTTATATAAGTGGACTCTGGTATGACTTTAACACCATAATTTTGTCATTGTAATTTATTTAAAATATCCACTCAAAGTCTTTGTATTACATTCAGAAATTTTAAATTTCAAAATTTTTGTATTTAGTTGTTTAAATAATCACTTGAAGTTCCTGCACACTACGAGCTACTGGAGGTCATAGATATATTTGTGCGTATTCTGGAGTACATGGAATACAGTCTTCCATGTAAGAAGCATGTAATTGCTGCTTTTTCGAGATGGAGTTTCACTCTGTCACCCAGGCTGGAGTGCAATGCTGGAATCTTGGCTCACTGCAGTCTCCACTTCCTGGGCTCAGGTGATCCTCCCACCTCAGCCATCCAAGTAGCTGGGACTGTAGGCCTCTGTCACCATGCTTGGCTGAATTTTGCATTTTTTGTAGAGATAGGGTTTTGCCTTGTTGCCCAGGCTGGCCTTTAAACTGTTGGACTCACATGATATGCCCACCTCAGCCTCTCAAAGTGCTGGGGTTACAGGCATGAATTGCCACATTCACCCTTCATAGCTGTTTAATCTGAATACATGAATTAATTTTTACATAATGGAATAAGTAATATACATAATATATCTATTGATTAAATACTGCAGTTAAAAAATCTTGCTTACATTGTATTATTTTTTAATGTTTAAGGATGTATAAGTTTTAATGTGTTATTTTGAGAAATTATGCCATAAAAAATAATAAATTAGAAATAGTCATTAATAGCAAAGAGGGTTACAATATATTTTCTAGTATAATTCAACTGGAATCTTAGATTATGATTTTAGACTAAAATTTCTTAAACATTTTATTAGCCTCAACTCATGCTCTAATAAATACGCCTTTATAAGCCATGCATAACTCTTTAGAATTCTGGTGACCAATTCTTTCTCTATGTCAAAAGTTGATGGAAAGTTCTAGTTTTCCCTCTCTGTAATAATAACGATCTTTCAGGTAGTGGTAGATGACCATGGCTAGCTAACTGAATGTTTTATACTAATAAAATTAAACTCTGTATCACAGAAATATTTTTAGAAAATGAATTGCAGCATAAGTATTAACCTGTATTGTTAGGAACAAAAGGCTCTGTTACGTATCTATTTCTCCATGCTATAAAGGAACAAAAGGCTCTGTTACGTATCTATTTCTCCATGCTATAAAGGAACAAAAGGCTCTGTTACGTATCTATTTCTCCATGCTATAAAGGAACAAAAGGCTCTGTTACATATCTATTTCTCCATGAACTTTATGGTACGCCATGTTGTTTCTTTTCCCTCTTGGCTGAAGCTCATATTAAATTGACTGGCTGGGCTTCTTTGTTGTTTCTCCCTTCGTCGTCACATTTTAAAAATGATTTATCCCCACCCAATTTTTTTCTCACAGATCTCATTTCTTTAGTGACTGGTCTTTCAGTCCATATTCACTTCCTTTTATTTAAATATAACATATAAATTTTATTACTACATTATTCTATTCAACCATTTTTTTTTCCATCAGTAAAGATTTTATAAAATATGTAGGTCTTTTCAAGTCCTTGTTTACCTAAATGAAGCATCTTCTATGGTGTTCTATTGATGCTCAATATGACATATGTCCAAGTTTTCTATCATAAAATATCTTAACAATGAAATATTTATATGAAGATAATTTTTTTAATATTGTAAGTATTACACTAATATATGTATTTATATTATATATATATTGTGTGTGTGTGTGTGTGTGTGTGTATTTAAGTTTTTGAGATACAGTCTTGCTCTTTCACCCAGGCTGGAGTGCAGTGGTGCGATCTCAGCTCACTGCAACCTACACCTCCTGGGTTTAAGCAATTCTCTTGTCTCATCTTCCCAAATAGATGGGACTACAGGTGTGCACTACCAAACCGGCTAATTTTTTTTTTCTATTTTTGGTACAGACAGGGTATCACCATATTGGTCAGGTTGCTCTCAAACTCCTGACCTCAGGTGATCCACCTGCCTCAGCTTGCCAAAGTGCCGAAATTACAAATGTGAGCCAATGCACCTGCCCCCCCATATAAATATATGATATATATGTCATATATTATATGCATTTTATATATAAATATATAAAATATATTTACATTTTAATATATAAATATATTAAAACAATATATAAATATAAACGTTATATATAACATATATATTATGTTTATGTTTTACATATAACATGTTATGTTTTATATATATAACATGTTTTTATTTATATATATAAATTTTATGTATATAATTTATATATATAATATATAATGTTAAATATATGTATATAATTTATATATATATAATTTATATATATATAATTTTTTTGAGACAGAGTCTTGCTCTGTTGCCATGCTCCAGGCTGGGGTACAGTGGCACAATCTAGGCTCACTGCAACCTCCACCTCCTGGGTTCAAGCAACTCTTCTGCCTCAGTCTCCCAAGTAGCTGGATCTACAGGCATGCACTACCACACCCAGCTAATTTTTGCATTTTTTAATAGAGATAGGGTTTCACCATGTTGGCCAGTATTGTCTCAATCTCTTGACCTCATGATACACCCACCTCAGCCTCCCAAAGTGCTGGGATTACAGGCATGAGACACAGTGCTCGGCTGCCAATACATACTTTTTAAATGTTTTCTTGTTTTTGGTGGGGACTGCAAAGTAGAGTTAGGTACTTTGAAGCTAGTTCCTGACTGAAATATGCACATGCTAATATTTTGTCTGTGAATATGTTTCCTTTTGACTACCGTGCTTAGATAAGCAAGTCAATAGACACATGAAGATACCATATGAGGCTGATCTAGAAAGTGTAGACGACGTTCTCTACTGAAATGCTTTGATTTTCAGTACATGCTTCTCCTCTTATTTTTTAAGTCAAATTAGTTTTAAAATACTAAATTGAAATTTTGGGGGAGATAGAGTCTTGCTCTCTAGGCTGGAGTGCAGTGGCATGATCTTGGCTTGCTGCAGTCTCCACCTCCCAGGCTCAAGTAATCCTCCCACATCAGCCTCCCAAGTAGCTAGGACTACAGGCACACACCACAATGACTAACTCATTTTGGTATTTTTTTTATATAGAGAGATAGGTTCTCATTATGTTTCCCAAGCTCATCTTGAACTCCAAGCTCAAGCAATCCACCTAACTTGGTTTTGTAAAGGGCTAGGATTATAAGAGTGAGCCACCAAGTTTGGGTAAACTGAGGTTTGTTTAAGTAAATTGATTAGTGCTGGGTTGTGGTGGTGCACATTGGTTATCAACACTTTGGGAGGCAGACGTGAAAGGATTACTTAAGACCAGGAGTTTGGGCCATGTGTGTGGCTCACGCCTGTAATCCCAGCACTTTGGGAGACCGAGGCAGGTGGACCAGAGGTCAAGAAATTGAGACCATCCTGGCCAACATGGTGAAACCCTGTCTCTAATAAAATACAATAAAAAAAAAATTAGCTGGGTGTGGTGGCATACACCTGTAGTCCCAGCTACTGAGGAGGCTGAGGCTGGAGATTGCTTGAATCCGGGAGTTAGAGGTTGCAGTGAGCTGAGATAATACCACTGCATTCCAGCCTGGCACCTGGTGACAGAGCGAGACTCTGTCTCAAAAAAAGCCCCACAACACCAGGAGTTTGCCACCAGCCTGGGTAATATAGTGAGACCTTGTCTCTACAAAAATAACAAAAAAAAGTAGCCTAGTATGATGGTACGCAGCTGTAGTTTCAGCTACTCAGAAGTTGAGGTGGGAAGATTGCTCGAGGTCGGGTGGTTGAGATTGCAGTGAGCCATAATCATGCCACTACATTCCACCCCTCGGTGACAGACCTTGTTTCAAAAAAAGAAAAAAAATTGGTAAGAAAGTCTTAATGCAACTCATTATAAATTTTTAAATGGAAACTCATCCTTGATATTACCTCAGCAGTGTGCCCTTGAGGAAGTGTCAGAGCCTTTACCCGAACCTGCCAATGGAAAAACAAAACAAAACAAAAAACATAGTATAGTCAATGTAAAAGAAGGTAAGAATACTATTTTATTTAAAAAGTCATTTGATGGAATTAAAAAATATATGTGAGCACCAATATGTTCAAATAGCTAAAGAAAATGTTCCATTAAATGTATAATGAGTAAAGGAGAAGTCAAATGGTGATAAGTTGTATATCTAACCAGGGGTCAGCAGTCGAGTCTATTTATTGAGATTACCACTAAAGGATCTGAATTATTAGTTCCCATTTTAAGATACTCTAAGATCTGAGGAAAATCAGGAAAGAGGGAAGATAAGATAAAATGAATAAAAGAGAGAAAGAATGAGGAGGGCAGAGTGTACATGGAATAAATGAAGAAACAATATGCGGGTGTATGTAAAGGAGGGTAGTAAAGTCAAATTGATTTGCAGAAGAAGGAAGATCAGGGCAATAGAAATAGGAAAGAAGGTAATGTCAGCTTCCTGCACCAAAATGTGTCAGAGAATTAGAGTAATCTCTTCCTGCCCTTGATTTCATTCTCACTATTAGAGAGGCAGTAAGGATTGAGGTACCTCACCACACAGACCTGTGTTTTATTTACCATAGATGAGTATCACCATAAATGGTCAGCCATGTATGGCCATAATTTAATTCTACAGAAAATGTTATAACTTCATCATATATTATCATATAGGCCAAATTAACATAATTGAATCATGTCATGTGATTTATGGAAAGGAAGTTAGAGAACGTATAGCCTGATTAAAAGTGTATTAGAAACATTATGACTTATAATGCAGAATTAAATTCAGGGACTTAATAGGGAAGAACCCAAGGCTAAGTTCCAGATGGGCAATGAAGGTAAACAAATGTGGAAGCCCATTAGGGTAGAACAGAGCATCCACATTTTCATGAATTAGTTGAGGAGCTTCTGGAAAGTGGACATTCTCATTCAGCATGTGTGGGCTTCTGCCCTTCTCAGGAGTACTCAGGTGGTGTTGGTGCTGTTCCTTGGACAGAGCTCTGAATAACAAGGAAATAGCCTTCCTTAGAGAAATCTGGAAAAACAACCATTGGACAGCAATTTTAAAAAAATAACAGAATCAAGGGAAGGCATTAATCTTTTGTTTCTGAAGTAGGATTCTAGCCACAGAGGAGGAAGAATGAGATGAAAACAGAAATTGTTGGTGTATACTACTGCTGCATACAGATGAAAAAAGTGGTTGCAATTATCCATAAAAAGCAGTTAGAAAAAACATCAGGATGACAGATCTAAAGATTACTTTTGCAAAGGAAGAGGGATTGGGAAAGGGCAAGGAAGGGGGAAGAAAAGAAAGTTTGTTGGGAGACTTTGGAGTTAAAACCAAGGAAGCCTGAGACACCTCACTTCCAGTTCCTTAGGCATATGCCCAGTCTGACAAAAGCAGTTGCTGCTGTGGAGAGTACTGGTGGCAGGAGGGAGTGCTAGAATTAGGGTAAACCCCAGCAGCTAATTTCTCTTCAAAACGGTCAGGCCTCAGAGCAAGAAGTTTCATTGACATGAGTGAATAAGATGTAATTAAGTTGCATTTTGGCTAATTTGGGGGGAGGGTCAGCCAGTTCTTTGATATGATAGCTATTTTATAAAAGTCATTTACAGAGTAAAATTACATGCCAAACTTAGCTAATTTTAGAAGGAGTCATATTATAAAATTCATTCTGTGACTACCAAAATTGTCACTTTCTAAGAATACTGCACTGATCTTGAAATATAAATGCTTATTCTTTTCTATCAAGACTGTGGCAATTCAATGTTTTCTCTTTTGATAAATATTTTGATATTGAAAGCTTATTCTATATGGTTTATTTGATGTGTTTTAAGTCTTGCATTGAGTGGATCAAGGAACCCTTAAGGTCAAACAAGACAATATGAGAAATGTAGGTGCTTCAGTAGCCACGTGGGCATGGGAAAATGAGAATTTTGAGAAACTGTTATTTCATGAGTGTGTATCATAGCTGATCAATTTAGAACACTTTCTTTGATGAGAGGTGAATCACACATTCGCCTGAACTGGCATCCCGACTGTGTATTTCCTAGTGACAGGATGAGGGGAAGCACATGATAAATATTTGTTTTGTTCTGGCATCAATGCCTCTGATATTTCAAGTTTAAATACTCTGTAGCATTCACCATCAGCCTTGACATTGATTCTGTTATAATTTGCTCCGCTGTTTAATGGTCCCTTTTATCCTTATCAGCCCAACGTGTTCACATTAATACCCATACTTTTCTATTTTAGTTATATGCATTTGAAACAATCTCACTTTGGGAAAAATAATCTTTGTGATTTAGGGATCCTATATTCCTATTTTACTCAGTATACTTCCATCACATTGCTATCCTAGGCAATAAAAAGATGATGCCAAAAAGAACCCTCAAAACCTTAAGTAATTATTTTCATAGCCAGGCATGAGGACTCAGCTTGATACTTACACTGCATAAATGTTTGGTTGGCCCAGTCAAACCTACATATAATTGGTGACATGTCCCCTTTGCTTTGTAGGGCCTCCTGAATAACATCCTTCCTTGAAGATAATTATATATATTTATTTTTAATTAATAACTTTATATTGTATAAAATGTATATGATTTATTAGTTATTTTCTTTAAAAACCCATTCAGCCTACTACTGAAATGAAAGATCCTGTTGTGAGAGAAGAAGTACAAAGAAAGAATGTATAGACATCGAAAGCAGGTACATTTTCAATATAAATGGAATGCTGGAAATAAGTACATTAAATGATTGGAAGTACTCACATTCTTCTTACCCCTAATTCTTTTTATTCTAAATTGAATGGAAGGAATTGTCATAAATGTTATTGTTGGTATCCATATTTCAATAAAAATAAATTTAGAAGAAAACAAGACTTTAAAAATAGGAGTTTTAACTCAGATGTTTCTATTTTAATATTTTGAATAGCATAACATTTCCAATATGAAATTTTTATACTTGTCAGGGATTCAAGCAGCATTCAAATTTTGAGACTCTGAGATGTTTCCAGGGTCTTACGTGCTAGTTGGAGTTCTGGTATTTACCTAAAGGAATGCTTCACTTAGATGTCAGTTTCTGTCTTTAGAGAATTCCTGTTCATGTTACTACACTGATGAGCTAAAGCCAATGAGATGTTCTAACGAGCAGACTATGTATGCATGTGTGTGTATGGGTGTGTTTGTGACATCTCTGATTATTATAAACTAGAAAAGTAATCATTCACAACTGGAAGGTAGTCTTTTAAAATGGTGGTTTTGAGACTTTTTTGGTATAAAAGTCTCTCAAAAAAAATAATTACATAGAGGCGACCAACGTCATGAACATCATTGAGGCTACCAACATCATTGGCTGTCTTCCAATTCAGTATCCTTTTGAAATCCTTAACTATATTGTGATGCTCAGAAATAATATGCAGAATTTTTATTTGTGTCCTAAAATGGAAGGTGAGTGGTTTTACACTTTACATATCTTTCTGCGACTTTCTTTTGTGTCCTTTGTATTCTATTTTCTAGATGTATCCACATTGATACTATTAGCTCTAGTTTAATTCATTTTACACTTTTGATTGTATTCCCTTATACCACTCTACCACATTTAATTCCTCTCTCCTGTTGCTGATAAATGAAGAAAAGAAAAAAAAATAGGCTGGGCATGGTGGCTCACACCCGTGATCCCAGCACTTTGGGAGGCTGAGGCGGGTGAATCATGAGGTCAGGAGATCAAGACCAATCTGGCCAACATGGTGAAACCCCATCTCTATTAAAATATAAAAAATTAGCTGGGTGTGGTGGCACATGCCTGTAGTCCCAGCTATACAAGAGGCTGAGACACAGAAATCACTTGAACCCGGGAGGCAGAGGTTGCAGTGAGCCAAAATTGTGCCACTGTACTCCAGTCTGGCAACAGAGCAAGACTGTCTCAAACAAAAAAAGAAAAGGAAAAATAATGTCAGATTAAAAGGGGCTTTTGTTTAATCCGTTTGTATCTGTGAATATTTACTACGTGAGAGTTTAAGGCTGAGAAGTTCAGAAGGCAAGCATGAACCAACATGTTTTACAAATGCCTTTAGAATTATGACTCATGAGCCTTTAGCCTATGAGGTTATGACAATTCATTTCTCTAAAGAAGTTTACTGTTCTATTAAAAAAAGGGGGGGGACTGAAAAAACAAATGACATTATCTTATTTGACCTCTTGGACATCCTCAAATGAAACTGCAACTTATGTCAAAATCCAGAACCAAAGTTTTGAACAATATATATATTGCTTGTGAATGTCTCGTGATCATGAGCCCTTGATGATGAAATGGCCTTTCAAATTTTACTTTTGCATTTTTTGCTCTTTTTCCAGACTTGTCTTATGAAACTTAAATTCAACAGTTTTATTTCTACAAAAAGCAGGAATACAATTTTTTAATATTTTCTGTCCTGTCTCATGGCGTTGAGAACTCTTCAGACCTAGTGTGGACCTAGACTTACTTTTACATGGGAACCATTAGGTTTGCTTCTTTGTTGTTGTTGTTGAGACACAGTCTTGTTCTGTGATGTGGTTCAGAGTAGATAAGCTCTTAAAGCAGTAATCTCTCCACTGGTTCTTTCTGTGTGGGGTAAAATGACAGGTGATTCGGGCCTTGTTATATGTAGGGCAGAGCACGTAAGTAAGTAAAACACCCAGCACCTTCCCCAAGAGTATTGGCCAGAAGTAACACATTAATATCTCTTGAGCTCTTCTCCACTGGCAGCTGGAAAGTTTTTTGCAAGAATCCCTGTTTCTGAATGTGGTATCTTAAAATATATGGTATAGTTCTCATCCTTTTGCCTGTGATGATGTGAAGTGATACAATGCCTATGTAATGAGATGAAGTGAGGTGAATGATGTAGGCACTGTCATGTAGTGTTAGGCCACTATTCACCCCCTGACTCTAAGTCAGAAAAAAGACTATCAGCTTTGAGTGTTCCTGGACCTT